ATCCCGTGATCGTCTGAAAACCAAAACAAGCTACATCATGTATGATAGATAAAAAGAGGCTGGAGCAAACATCCATCACTCGCGCAATCTACAAGCAGATTAACAAACATGGAGGGCAAAGGCAATAAGAGTTCCAGCGCTCTCCTCTTCGGCCTTTCTTTCAATTTAATTCTAACGTTGAGTTCCCTTGGTTTCACGTGCTATTCTTTACATCGGCTCGACTCGCGACTAACATCAGTTGAACAGGATTTGCTGGTTGTAAATCATCCATCTCAGCTTGCCAAACGCGTGACTGTTAAACCATCATCTACGCATTCGCCTCCAAGTGGATCGCGAAAGAAGGAAGCAGGCACACAGGCTAAGAGAGCTGTCGAAAGACCATCGATGTGCCGCAAATGCAGCAGCCCCTGTTTAAACGCAAATCGCCATCAAAATGTAAGTTTTTTTTTTTCATTGTATGTAGGCATGGAAACCGTATTTCAAATGTAAATGACGTGATCGCTTAGGTTTTCTTTTGTGCGCCGAAAAAAACTGCATTATTCACTGTCCTTGTTGAATTGATCAATAGATTATTTTCTGTAACTAAAATGAATCCGAAAGGAAATTAATTATATCAGGCGTGGGCGTATTCAACATCAGATACATTAACTTTTAACTCACATTGGTCTTTTCTGTCTTTTGCAATCCAAGTTAACTTAGGTTGCATCTTTAAACAATTCATCATTTCCGGATGGGCCCTCCGCTAGACTACATGAGATAGGAACGTGTTTTCAAGGAACTTCCAGAGAGCATGCAAGGATCTTATGATTTACCTCGAGATTAGGGCTCCCTGCTGAGCGAAATTTTACTGAGCTTTTATTAATGTAATCATGTATGAGTTAACTTTTGTCGCTGATTTGTTCACATCATCGCATGCATCCATGTTCGCAATTGGTGCCAAGGTTAAAACCACTAACAACAGTAGTGTCACACTGCTCCCGTTGGTCATAACAGGATAATTAACTTAAGATTTTATTAAACGAAGGCATGCATTTAGTTAAGTTGCGTTGACATACCAGGTAACCTTGGAAAGTGTAATTCTCTTTTCTTGTAATTAAATGAAACCGAATGAGTCTGCCAAACTCATGCGCTCTCCAAACCGTCAATTGTCAGGACTTATTTGTTTGGTTTAAATGTCAAACACTTTCGCGTTTATGTCCCTGTTTACTGTACGCGTGTAGGTTCGCATTTGCGTGTTTGTTTCTGTTGGTGTTTACGTTTACTTATCAGTCCGGTATTATGCCAGTTTTCGAAGAAGCGAGAACAATGCTCTATGTCACGAGCCATAACATGATCACCATGGCGATGAGCATTTTCAAAACATGAAAAGATCCAAGATACCGGCCGATTACGCGCGGGCAATATCGGGGTAAAAGTGTTCGCTTTAATTTGGCTTTCATTTCAACTTTTCTATGCCTATTTATAGGAAAATTCTTTGTATACGGATGACAACCATTCTTGTACTACAATATTGCACGTCACATGCATGTGCCTAGCTCTAATAGCGCTAGCAATGTCGATGCAACTGTCATCATTCCACGTGAAAAACAAACAGGTATTAAGGAACAGTTTTTCACGTCTTCACCAGTTTATTCAATGTTTAGTAAAATAAGCCTCGATAAGAAAGTTCTTGTGTTTGCAGTAATTTTTGTCTCGTAAATATCGGTTTTGTTTAGCCTGGTAGAATATTTAAAATTCAAATGTGATACAGTCTTTCCTAAAATTCACAAAGACTGCAAAACCAACGTAATGTAGTCTTAGATATAGTTTTCCTTTCGGATTCTTTAAGCCTTATTGATGAACACTGATAAAAGCTTTCATTTCCTAAATAAATCAGGGATTTTGTTTAAAACGCGTCATTGTTTGTTAATAATCATCCCAAAAAAAAGTCTAACCACTGTTTTGTCGCTGACAGATACTAATTATATTACTTTCTTTTATTACTGCAAAATTCAACATTTTTCCAAATTCCTTGGGCAAAATTAAATTAAAATACCTGTGAACTCGGTCACGCTCATACTCCAGAAGATGTTTTGGAATGGTGTTAAAGGCTTTAAGGCACGTCAAGCCTGTTTATATATTAGTAGAACCAAGAACAGTGGTCTGCTTGTGATGTATCAAATGTGTCCGAATCAGTCATTAGCCTAATTGTCCTCAAAGTACAGCTATTAAAAGTACAATTATCTCAGAGTATTGTTTTTGTTGTCATCTTAAAGCTTAAGTTGAAAAGGGGTTTGCGAAACACAGAATATCTGGACACTGGGACTATTTCACGAAGGACATTTCTCTCCCCATTTTTCCACAAATTGCTAATTACAAAGGTTTTTCAAAATTCGCCTGGCTGGTTTAGAGTGAGTGTTTCCTTCCTTTATTTTGTTTGACTTCTCAAGCAATTCAGTGTGATGCCTCGCATCGTTGTAAATGCATGCACTGCTTATTTGAGGGCTGAACTCTAACATTTCTGAAGCCCTGTCTATGCGTCGTTTAATCTGGGGCACTGCTGATCATGAAATGTGACAGTGCTAGATCTAGTAGCTGTGGTTGTCTCTTTAGACTGCTTACAAGTTGCAACATTTGAACCCCATGGAATATTGAGAAAAATGTAAACTACTGTTTATTAAAAGTTCAACATACAATATTATTATTACTTTGATTCTTTAGCACTCTCTTGAACCTGAAAACGAAAAAGACAACAGAATTGATTTAACAGTATCTGTTATCAATAGACATGACAACTTGGACAAATAATGCATTGATCACAACACTTATTTTATTTGACCAAGTCCGGCAAACGGCAACAGATCTTTAACATCCTAATAAATAAGGAATAATAAACAAGGAATAAAATAAACATTGACCCACGTGGAACATACACCATGTAGAAATGTGCATCAGCGCATGTACATGATACATGTGCCCTTATCAAACCTACACTTCAGTCAAATTCCAGCCCTCTCATGCCGATTAAAAAAGAAATTATTTCATAAATCAGCTTACATGATTCAGCTATCACAGAATAAGACTCTCACTTTCTAAACAAGACTAACGCAATATAGTGTGAAAACGAAAAAAGACTCGACGTACGCGCGATACATTGTATGTAAATTTCCAGTCGTTTTTCTGTCAGACATCATTTCTTATGACAGCTATTTTCAATACGTGCTTGCCATTTTTGCTGGCTTGTTGCCACCGATGAAACTCTCTCGACACAGCACTGACATATTGTCGTTTCCAGGAACATTAGTCCCGATATCGAAAAAAATTAGGCAAGCTATCGAAATAAAAACATAAAAACATGTACTTACATTTGATGCCCGTCAAAATAGTGTCGTCTTCTTCGACGGCCGTTCCAAAATGACACGGATTTTATCGACTCCCTTTGCCAAACGTTCACAACCCCCACACAAGGAACGATCGAGAGCGAAGGCTTGCCATGAGACTTTGAAAGTCCCAGATATTAAACGATAGAAGCTAGAACCAAGCTTTTCTGAGAGCCCATATTTTTTTCTTGATTACTTTTTGCAATTTTGGCGTGACGTTAGCCCTTCTTCCAAAACAGGTATTCTACCGGACTGGTAACCTGAGATATATATTCTGACAAATATAACCTGACAGATTTATTCCCTGAGGAGATTAAGTTTTTAAACTTGACCTTTGCACGTTCTTGTGACACAACCTGTAAATTGGCTAGAATGCCCAATGTCAGAGGCAGTAATACCCACTAATGATAACTTTACCTGTTTTTTAAAAACATTTATTAAAAGATATTCTATTCTGCAAATAAGCCTTCTAGCGAGAGCGTGTGGAACGGACGGAAAGAAACATTTGGCAAGCAAAAGGAGGCCGAGCCGAGCGTTGCCATTTCGTTTTGCAAATTTCCCAATGGAGAGCATGTTTGCAGACAATAAGCATTAAAAATTCCTCATTTTAAAGATTGCCACTTCTAAAGATTCTCCGTTTAAAAGATTCCCGCTTATAAAGATTCCCGCTTATAAAGATTCCCGCTTTTAAAGATTCCCGTTTTTA